TGAACTATTATTAAACATAATTGAGTGGAGAGCGTTGCTGTATTATTTCCTTTTATACTTAATATTTCAGATTCAATATTGAGGTTTATTTCGAAGTTTGAGACCTAATAAATAAAAACTTCGTGGCGCTCCCAGTAAACTCTCCTTAAATACGACCAAAAATGCTTTCCGATAAACAGCTGCCGTAAGCAATAATTTCTTTTTAATCCAAAGTAATTAAAAACGTTACAAGATCTCTCTCCGCCTTGGCCATCACGACGTTATCATCCGCATATTGTAGTCGATACTTTCGTCTTGGCTCGTAATCTGTTTAGGTTGACCAAGCCGCCAGTCAAGGCAGGAGATTTTCATTCCTAACGGCAGGTAACTCTCGACAAGATGGAATATGGATCCTATGAATAGAGAAAATAAACTGAGCGTAATAATAGAGCCCTTTTTAACGCCTGTAGTTTTTTGAAAATCTTCTCTTCGTCCATTGTTGCTTAGGATGGTTGCTTTCATATTATCATGCAGCAGGCGGAGTATCTTTATCTGGGTGTATTTTTGCGGACACCAAACCTTTGCTAATCAAATTCAAAATTCAAAAGACCTTCCCTGTTGACCGAATTATATGGTTTCATTTTTATGATGACCATGTATGGAGGTCAAGTCCGTCGATTTTAATCTGATACTCCAAAGGAATGTGAGCTGGTGGCTCCTTACGTTAGAACGCCAATGTTCACCTGACATCACACCTGTTTTTGTGTTATACTTCACCCCCTCGCTCTTCATACGGAAAGTGTCAGATTAAAATCGACGGACAAGAGTAAAATAAATTTGTGCTCATAAAAGCCTCTCGCGGGAAAGTTTTGGTGTCGTTTTGATTTTCTCTATTCTCCATGTTTTTTGGAGTGCTGAATCCGAATCTGAGGTTTGCTGGTAAAATTTCGTGACGTAACAAAGAAAAAAATGCAAAAAAGTTGAAAAAAAGGCAGTCTTTTGCTTATAACTCGAAAACTATGCATTTTTTAGAAAAAGCACCTCCATCCAAAATGAAAGTAAATAAAATTTTCTATGAATTACATCTATAGGACGAACCGTTTGGGCTCAAGCGCTAGTTGAAAATTGTCGTATTTTATTTGTCTCCCCAAAAACCCACCGTTTTAACTGGGAAACTCTAATTTAGTATTAAAAGCTCATTTGGTAAATTCCTCCTAGTTTTAAATTTTCAAACACCTTCAATTTAATTCATTTATCAACTGCCGAAGGGTTGGAAGGGATTAGTTCTGAGTTAGAGCATAATGATAACGACCGATTTATCAAATTTGTTTACGCGTACTGTTAAAAATGCCCTCGAACGTGTGTTTTATTTGTGATGGATAATGATGGAGAGAACATAATAACGGTGCGGAAAAAAGGTTTGAACACGTTTATTGTGTCAAGTAGGAAGATGAGAAATGGTGAGCATATTCAGTTAAGCAAAAAACCGGAAGTTGTGGTTCATGAGCGATGTCGTAAGAACTATACTAATGAAAGAATGATTGCCTCTCATTTGAAGAAGGTGGAGTAAGACATGTGAAAGAGAATGTGGAAGATCTGCAAGATGAATTCAAAAGTAAGCTTCAATTGTTGGCAGAACGTGCCCCAACTGCCAAACTCTGGATTGTATATTTCGAAATGACGACTTTGATGAAGCACTTCATTGAAGCAGAAAGAAGTTTGTATGCTAAATGCAGTCATCTTTATCTCCAGGATATGCTCGCCTTGAAAACTATAATGTCACCTGCTGAATACAAGCGTTTCACTACAGAAAAATGCTTTACCATCCGGAGGACTGATAAACGTTGGTGCGGCACCTGGACTGATATGACGATCGAGCTAACTCTGATGAAGTCAATTAGAACCAGTGGTAGTCTCACTCTGGAGTAACTCCAAGCATTGTTACAAGATGGACACCAGCGATGACAGCATAACATAATGTGTGCCAAGATATTGAGCACTACACTGGTCACGGGAGTGAAACACGCGACTTCTGAAAAACACGCTGACACCAGAGATACGATGCGAGAAGTAACATATGCACAAAAGTTGCTGAATTTTCCAAAGACCACGGGCTTGATGTGACTTGGTACATGTGTTGTTGCAGATGATAGAATCAACAAAAGTATACAGCGCATTGTTGGAGGCGACTCCAAAACTGTCAAATTCAAGCGAAAGAGCGCAGCCTTTTGCAATTATGAACAGCTATTGATGTATTGTATTTTTCTCTCACTAATATTGTCATTTTCGTAAAGACATTATAAATTTTAATAATACAGTTCATGGCAATTTCCACTTTGGAACAAAAGCATATTTCAAAATCTTCCAACCCGCGAGTCGCTTTGCTCCAAAGCGAAAATGTAAATACCAACATTGTCTAAGCAGGAATGCAAGTGTCGCATTTCTGGAGTTTTATTTCACATTTCCGAAACGGCGGCAGATTTTATTTTATTTCGTGGAAATTGTGAACAAAGGTGCTTTGGAAAAATCGGTTTCCATTTTTCTTTGAGATAAAAAGAACGTAAAAATATCAGTTATGGGAAATTCAATGATGCTTATTTTAAGGTGAACAAATAACAATTTAATGCGACACGTTAATACAGCAACAAAAACTACTTTATTTTCCACTGAATTAAAATGTTTAGCAAAACTTTAAGTTGAAAATATATTGTTATAATTTCGATAACGGAGTAAATGTAGACTGATATTTTAGTGAGCGTCATGTTTAAAGTGCCAGTTCATTATCCTCTATTAGTGAGCGAAGACCTTTAAATATGTCAACAGCAATATGATATTGTTGTCTCTCATAGTTTATTAATTGAGAGATTCTCACGTTTTATTATGGCATCGAATCGAGCTCTCTTTCTATTATTGTATTTATTATTTTATTTCTATAGGTACAATAATTGAAATTAGTCTTGTTAAATAAATTGAGAAAAAATCGAAACTTTTTTACAAAAACTAAATTTTAATTTCCTAGAGGAACTTCTTCCAATTAGGTACTCCGTCGGCCAATCAAGAGCTAGCACTTACTTCACTCACGAATCATGCCAGAAGCCCTGTTTTTGCTTCGCGGATATAACATTCTAACCAATCAATAAATGGCCAATAATTTTACTAACACTTAGAAGCTTTCTTATTTACTCTTTTACTCTAGAAATCGTTTTTAGAAAGTAAAGTCCATTATAACGACATCATTCATTTGGTTTCATGCACCTCAGCCAGCCCTAACTTAATTTTCAATACTATGAAAATGTTTTTTTGTGATTGATTTGAATTATAAAATTCCTGCGAACCAGACAAGAGCTAAAGGAGGCTTAACCACCGAGATGATAGGCCCAGAACTATTCTGCGGAATCTCAGCATGCCTCTTTAAAACATCTATCAATAACTGGATCGACAAAGAATTTCAAAGATGATGGTGGCTGCAAACACCAGGACTACGACAGTCAAAACAGTTCATTAAATCTGAGAAATTAGAGAAAAATATTTTTTTTTTTTTGAGTCAATCATTCACTTGTTACACAATTCAGAGGGTTAAGGCAGCCCTTTTTCCACTTATTTCCGATAAATGGATCGGCCTTAGTTAAATTATAAACTAATCCTCAAAGTTCATTTTATAGGGGTTCGAAATATCCTAGATCGGATTAAACAGAGAGACCAAGGAAAATAATCTACCAGACAAAGTGTTTTTTTGCTTAAAAATGTAATTTGAGAGATAATAGGATTCTGTATCCATTAGCTAGGTACCTACTTTGGATTTTTGAATCAATTATAAGACTTTTATATTGTTACTAGCTGACCCGGCGAACTTCGTACCTCCTCTGAATTATTAAATACCTATTAAATGTTGTGTTAACGTATCTATTAACTGAATTAAATTCAGTATTTTTCCATGGTGAATTTGGCTTTGGTCGAAGAAAATAAATTTTTACTCTCTGGATCAGAAGTCACCTAAAATTAAAATTTTACATCATCCCTTTTTAGGCATCTTGTGGGCATTATTCTTATAAAGTGTACCACCAAATAAATAAACTCAGGCACAGGAATGTTCAAAAAATGTAAAGAAAACAAAAAAAATCTCCAGCGCAGCCCTGTTTCATTTTATCTGCACTGCATGCACTGCAATACTCCATCTGTTCTACTGTATCTGCACTATTCTATCTGATCTACTCTTTCTGCATCACTTTATCTGATCGGAATAGTGGAATAGTTCTGTTCAGAATAGCTCCAGTTCCTTAGCAGTATTCTGTTCTACTGTATCTGCAATGAAATTACCGCGCAACGGCGAGCTTCGTTCTAGGTACCTATCATATATGGCGCCGTATACAAAATGGTTGTGGCGGACTCATAACCTGGCTCTCTGCCACTCGACACCAGCCGGACGGAGCACTCCGAACAGTCGGCACGGAACACGGCTGTCAAGGGATGCCTAAGAGGAGAAACGGAACTTAGCCACAGAACGTCAATGGTCAAGCGTCAAGAAATGACAGGTAGACCAGTTCGCGCTCTTTCGGAATGAACGAACCAACAACAAAATAAAATACACAATTAAAACATTGTCATTCTATTTATTTTTGGACATTTTTACTGTGAAGAACAATTAAAAATAAAGTGCTTTCCTCAAATTGTTTTTGTGCAAAGTGTGTGAGAATAAAATCCACATGGTTTGCAATGAAAATGTGACGGTAAACTTGGTATCGGTTATAAGAGATGGCGCCGCATGCGGGCTTAGTGAGTTTTTTCATAAATAAGTAAAATAGAAAAATTTTTTTTTTGTTTTTTTTTTTTTTTTTTCGATTTATTATCCTAGGATGGACAAAGACAAATCCAATAAAGCAAAAATCATAAAAATCAGTCCAGCCGTTCTCGAGTTATAAGTGCTCAAATACCAACACAACATATATAGATTGATGAATTCGATAAAATTCAAATATTTATCACTAATTTTACTTAACCAATAATTTTTTTTTTAATTTCAGTCGACGTCACCTTTATCGTTGATATCCTCATCAACTTTCGCACAACTTATGTTTCTGGAAACGATGAAATCGTCTCGGATCCAGGAAAAATAGCCGTGCACTACCTCAAGGGGTGGTTCCTCATAGACCTCGTCGCGGCGGTACCGTTTGACCTTCTGTTTTTCGGTACGGATACGGACGAGGTACGTATTCATTGCCCTTTGTCCCTAAGTATGTTGCAACTTTATTGTTTCTTCAACTAGGATATAGGTTTAACGTTATCAGTCAGTTATCGTTTCTTGCCATGTTGATACGTTTTTTTATTGTAGAAGAGTGATGAAAAATTAGCTAAAACCAAATCTATTTTCCGCACTATAATAACACAGAAGGAAGAGGCAAGACATTTGAGAATGATCTAATATGTTGCTATTAAAAAAAAAAACTATAAACTATACTGAGGCCTGGCAAAAAACAAAAATACCAAGAGACAGCATTAGAAATAGAATAAATAGGAATAACAACAAATACTCTTTACTGTTCTGTAAAGCTGAATCTTTGGAAGGTCAATCAAAAGACAGTGCGAAAATCATTGTTTCTTTATCCTCAGATCAAGTTAAGCTATTTCTTGGACAATAGTTATTATCAAACTGTATCATATAACTCGGACCTAATTTATAAGCAGAAGGAACTCCAAATATCTCATCAAAATCGATGATCAGAGAAAGCTGAAAGATCAACTTGATGCTTGAAACTATTGATCAAGACTCAAGAGAACAACTAAATTGACTCTAAGACAACCGCTTTATCACCTACTGATTTCCTGGTATTATCAATTTGGCATCAACACTTTCCTCGAGCGGCGGCGGTGTTGTAAGTTCCTTGTTTCACAAGTTATACAACATGCGTCCATAATACTTGCGAACCAGGATATCAAATTAGGATAATTTTACTTTGAGAAAAGTGGCAACGGAATTATCTTTCTTTGATTGTGCTTGTTTAGTTTATAAAGGGAAAGCTCTCCAAGGTGAGTAATCAATGCTAAAAATGAAAGAATTTCTCAACCAACTCACAACTATATATTTTTCCTTCTTCTTTAGCCCGTTATCATTCTTCCTTCGTATCGTTCCTTCTTTCGATAGTCATGTGAGTTTGCTCATTCTGCGTCCATCAAAGTGGGATGGGGTATCATGCTCTCTCTCGAGAGTGCGAAAAAGATAGCATGATCGGTCATGTATGATTCATCATTCGTACTATTCGTAATTTGTGGTTGCAATCTTTCTTCGAGTCCTGACTGGGACACTTTTTTTCCAAGGTCTGCGCAAAACTAGATATCAAGGAAGCGTGGACCGACCAGTTTTAGGCATCTGCGTATATGGACCTAAATCTATTTATTCAGTTATCTCATGTTCTTTTGGTCCGATTTAACTCGTTATCTTTCCAAAAGGTTCAAAATTATTAGTGCTGTGTTTATAAATATTATTTCACAGACAGTCAATAATTGATTGTTAACCACGGTGAAATGCCAAGAAGATCTATCTACGCCCACCTAGTATTTTATATTATCAGAATTATGATTTTTTCTTTAAACCCATAAGATATCGTACAAGCTTTCACTACAATTTTCGATATAGGCTTCTCTCAATTCTATTTAAGGCTCTGGTCTTCATTATAACCCTGCGACTAGTCCTGGGGGTCTGCCTCTTGTGTACTCAATATAATATATGGTCTTTTTTGTATTTCTTCTTAGTTCCATCTGTGTTCTTTCTGTTTTGCTAGATAATCTGCGAAACTTTTTAGATAGGTGCCTTTTGATGCAACGTTCTGCAACTTTGTTTGCGCTCTAATCCAAGTATTTCTCTTTTTGCCGGAGACTCCTTTGTTTAGATTATCTGTTCCATGTGAAAGATCACGTCTTCGTTATTTTGTCGATATATTGTAAATTCTGCTATTTGGTTACTCTATCACATCTCAGTATCTATCCTAGGTGGATGTAGATGTAGAGGTTCTGTGGATTTCAATTTTTCTTTAACATTAGTTGTTTTTACTTTTGATTCCTCCATTGTTACCCGCAAAACACGATTGAAAAGTGAATAATAAAATTTGAGGAAGTGAGACAGTGAATGGGTAACTAAAATAAAAAAAATAGAAAGAGAGGGTTGGTCGGTGGCTAAAATCTAGAAACGGGACTTCGTGTGAAGGGTTGCCGACTAGCTTCCAATGTGGAGAGGGGTGTGGATCAATTAAATAATTAAATATAGAGCGCCACCTGCTTTTCCCTGCAGTAAACGAAGTCAACCGATATAACAAAAGCAGGAAACTTCTACGGACCTATAGCAGCACAACCTGAAATATAAAAATAAACAAGAAGGAAGGGCAGAAGTGAAACGCTTTTCTACAATCAGGTACGGGTTTTTAATTTGAACCAGAACAGGTTTGACTCTAGAGTAGGTTCGGGGTGGGTTTTCCGAACGCCCTAGAACACTGAAAATTATTAACACTGGAACCAAAACAAGAACAAAATAAATCGACTAGGAGTACCCGTTTTAAAAATAGTATTTACAATAATTTAACTTAACTTGAGTCCCTAAATAAAGAAGTAAAGAGTATTGTATAACACTTATAACAGCAATAATACCTGAAATGTAAATTAATAGACAAACTTATCACTTACCACTTACCAAAATACTTTGGCTTTTAGGAACAAGCAATTGATCACGTTGCTCTTTTTCGGCTCACAAAGAAATCCGCGCAAGGCGCTTTGGTGCTAAAATAACGGATTAGCCACCCTAGATCTATGAGCGAAAACTGGACAACTCAGAAATCGGAAAAATGTACCTGAGGAATTTTCCCGAACACTTAATCGTGGAAAGTCCTCGACCTGAATGACCTCTGCTTGTTTCTTTAATGTCCTTTAAAAAGATTCTGTCAAAACTCCAAGGTGAAAGGTCCTGAGGAATTTTGATGGTAGTTGAGGCATGGGACTTATTCAAATTAAGTTAGTACCGGTCATTGACCCTATTTGGAGCGCTGTGAATTTAATCAATCTAATCGGATCAGACAATCAGCTGTTCTAATGTAAATAATGTGATTTTGTTTATTAATAAATTAATTGACTATTTATTTTAACCCTACTAAAAGGAAATCAACTCCATTATTCAACCTCTAACTCAATGATTCAACCTGTAGCTCAATGATTCTGGGAAGAGGGAAAAGTTTGATGAAAGGTGTAGCCACAACTACTATTGGAAAGAAAACAGTGGCTTGACGTAGGTATGCTATTCAGTGAGGCGAATACGCCTATTTCCTTTTATTTTGGCCCAAGAAAAATCATCCCGTAACACCATATCAATATTCCGTTCTATTTCTTACCAACTGACTAGTCATCAACTGTAGCTCTTCAAAACTATGGGAAATGCTAGTCGGCAAACCGTTGATGCCTTAGTCGGTTCCTATTTATGCCTTGACTAGACTGAGCCAGTTTTTTGAATATATCCCCGATTGTCAGTTTGAAAAGTTTTGGTGATATGACATTTCCCTTTCTAATTCTAATGGTGTTCTCATTAGGCTGAATTGTGAGCTATAAATGTTATGCGTTCTTATTGGCCACCACAATAAGATAAAGGAATATAGTATTTGTTGACGCTTTCTATGAGAGTTTTTATAGTGATGAGAAGGGCAAAAGTACTAAGGTTATGAATAAACCTATCTGCCTCTTTAACGGATTGGTAGCAGTCTATTTTAAGTAATAGGGTTGGTGATCATTTTTCTAAACACCTTTTGGACAATAACGAGATATAATGGTAGATTCTGATGTCAGTCCTATCACTTTTTTTGAAAAGCATATCAGTGTATGGTAACTTTCTAAAACTAGTAATAATAATAATTATTTTTGAAATAGCAACACATATTTATCGAAGCAATGAACTTGAAATAATAATTATAACTTTATTTCAAAATAAATAATTATTTTCGTGTATGGGAAATGGGAAATCCAAATATACATTTATCAAAGTGATTTGGCGGCATTGCTATTTCCTAAATGTTTTGCCCAGATTCCTTCTGTGTTGGCCAACCCATTCGAGTTGTAATGCCAATATTTTGTAATAGAATGAAACTTCTAATGTAGTATACTTTCACATACTTTCAAAGGATGTGAGACTCATTTATTTAATAATTTAGTAAATATTTATCACTCTTCTACAAAAGCGTTATATCTTTTTGGTGTTGAATATTCTCGTTTATTTTATCTTTAATTATATTTATTTCAGCATATCATCTACTTCAAAAATGGTGGTTCAAGTTAACACAGCAAATAATTTCTAGAATGTCTAAAGTACAACGTAATTATTAAAAAAAAAGTCGTGCATTTTTTTCTTTAAAAAATCCATATGTTTTTCTCAAATAATCCAAGCAACAATACAAAAGAACTTCTTTGTCCGCTAGCTGGAACTATGTCTTCCCACTTCATTTGCTGACAAAGGCTGAAAGGTTCGTTTCTATTGAAAAGCACAAAGACCATTCACGACTCATGCAAGGATTTCTTCTAATATTATAAATAATAATAGTGAAGGAATTTATGTGCCAATTTCGCTTTACAGGTTATCAAATAATAATATCTGTCTAATAAAAGCTAATAAAAAGATATCGAGATATTATTGATTCACCTGCTCTTATATTATTCAATCAATGGCAGATGGAAAATATCTACTCGCTTTCAACTGAGTAGGTTTTTCGTAAGTCTCAATAATTGGGCATAAGCCGATTCTTTTCAGTGTAAATGACCCATCAATTCTAAGTCCGCCATTAAAATCAAAGACTAAAACAGCAGAAGCCTTCTAAAGCATCCAAAAACTTTAAAATTCTCTAAGAGATTACAAGAGTTACTCACAAATCACGAAAGAAAGCCCAGTATTCGCTTCGCAGATGGAACAGCTTAACCAAACAAATGGGAAAATTATGAAAATAATTAGTTGTCTTGTTTACACTTGTACACCAAACAAAGGATTCGTTTTTTAAAGATTATATTCATATTTATATCGACAAAGTGAATAAATAAATTGTCTCGAGCAAAACTTATTTGATTTTAGAATTCAACAGAAAGCTACAGACAAAGATACTTTAAATTGTCTTGAAGAAGAGAAATATATTGTAAATAAAAAAAATTCAATACGTGAGCTGAATTCCCTAATAAAGATATTTTTTA